TGCTTATTCTGTGCAAGTCACTAAGAAATGTGCAAAATTTGATTTTCTAAATTTGCGCAGCATTTCCCATTTCTTCAGCTTTCTCCCCTGTGCTGTCTACACACTGGCTGAGTGAGTTCTATTCCAAACTGAGTGAACACCAGATTAAGCCACTTATCACCAGATATTCCATCATTTCTTTAAATAAGGGGGGCAAATAACATTTGGAACAGAGCTCACTTGTGCTTCTCTAAAGCAACAGCTCCAGGCAAACAGGCCTGCTATGCTTCAGGAGCTCTCCCCAAGGAGAATCAGAATTTGAAAGGAGACTGGAGCCTCAAGCAGAAAGCTGTCTGTAACCTTACCCTCCCCCAGTCATTTCCCTGGCCTGTCCTTCTTTCCCCTAGCTTTTCTTTCTCTGACTGATAATTTTAGCTGTGTTCCTTATTCTTACCTTTTACATCATAAAGGCCAAATTTCACATTAATATTCTATGTGTTCTTTTGGCTGACTGTTTAAGACAATGTTTCTCAGACTCCAAAGGGATAAAAGCAGAGATGAAGTTTTGCAGAGATGAAGTTTTATGGTCCTAATGGCTTAACACAGGTCTGTGCTAGAAAGCCAGCACTTCATTTTGGGAGCCACTCTCTCATGGAGAGAGTCTACTCTGCATACCAGGCCCCAGGGAGCAGCATGGGAAGTGCTCTGTGGATTATTTTCCTATCATTGCTAAAGGCTGCTTTGCTTGCTGCCTACTGAAACACATAATAGAGGTAAGAAGATAAAACTTCAACATGGCATATTTGAATTTTCTTTTAACTGCTTATATTTTAGCAGTGAGTTTGGACTTAAAATACATCTAAACAGACAATGCTGAGAAGTGAAACAAAGGAATAAATAAATAAATACTGAGAAGTGAAATAAAGGAGTAAAAGGAACTGTGGTTTGAAATGCTTAGAGTCTATCAGTTTTTCTGATAGACTAGATACTGTATGAGAAACACTGCACTTTTTCTTTCTGCAGTAGCCCCCCACAGAGGCCACGGCTGGTCAACTCAAACACAACAGGAACCTCATTCTTTGGAGTCAGTATTTACTCCTAAGACTGTTCATAGGTCACTACTGTAGTGTCAGGACAGGCACATGTTCGACTGGTATGACCCTCAAAGCATTTAAAAATCATTCAGAAACAGTGCTGTGCTGCATTCAAACTACTTGTTCATAATATATGATATTGGCTTGAAATGACATTTCTTCTGTCTTTACAATCCAAATATGATGTACTATAGTGGTGACAGAGTACAGAGGCATTTTCACACCTAACATAATTCTGGTTTCAAGACCAAAATCTTCATCCTTTGAAACCAATAAAGACCTTGCTAATAATGCCAACATATATGCACATACTAGCACACAAAATTGATTTTTTTCTAATAACAACAGTATTCATTTAATTACAAATAAAAAGAAATTGCGTTTTGATTCCTATTTTATATAAAAGACCAAGACACTGGATTTTACAAAATGGAAAAAAAAAAAAAAGGAGATTGCAAATATACTTGTAAAATCAGTCATGTGTGTTTTTCTTTAAAAATACTAATTGCTGCAGGATCAACCAGCACACATACATCAAAAAGCCTACAGCAGTCTGCACTTTTAAATGTGCTATCATCTACCAAAAGTCTTGAGAGAAGTTCTGTTGCATTTCCACAAAGCTACATTTAAGAGGGTTATCTCAAATGCAGGAAAACAAGGAATAAAAAAAATGTGCCAAGCTTAGGCTGTAGTCCCTTTCAGATTATCAAATTTAGCAGGGCAGAGCACAGCCCTACAATTCTACTGCTTGGTCTGAATGGACAAACCAGAGTAACTAAGACTGCTGACAGAATTCACACTGTGTGAGCAGTAAGTGACCACTTCTTCTGAAATGGGTGAATGTTTCTAGGAAAAATAAGTGTTAAGAACCAAGCACATAATTTTTGAAGAGACTTCAGTACCTTTGCAAAGTAATTTTTTTGGGAGAACAGTTTGTATTTTGTAGCGGTTGGTCTTTTGTCAAGCAAGGACTGCAGAACTGTACATCATGACAGTGCAAACAGGAACAGCTGACATTGTGACTTCACAGTGCCATTCTCTGGTCTTCTTCTGAGCACAGGAGATAACTGACCCCATGGCAGCTGCATTTTGTAATGGGAACGGCGTGCCAGAGGGGTTGCATGACTGGAGGAAAGGGACAGCAAATGAGAAGATAAACTGCTGATCTCCTGATGCTTGCTGAATTGGCTTCATCTGTGCCAGGCAATACAGGGACACCCCTCTTGTTCCTAGAAATTAATACATTTGGCTGCACTGCCAACACAATCTGACCTGTCAGGTATTTCACTAGTAGGAAATTGAGGGCCACTTCTTATACTTAAACTAGTAATTTGAAAACATCTGATAAATCTCCAAACATATCACAAGTCAAAAAACCTCTTTTCAACAAGTATGAAAGGTTTGTTTAATCAAACTTCTTTGACTCTGAAAAGGTCTAGGAGCACGCACAGAGCTGCTTTCAGGTGGGTGGCAATTAAGAAGCCACAGTTTCTTCATGCCCTTTAATCTTGTATTTGGAGCCTACTGGACAATGATCAGGATAGCTCCAAAATCAGCCAGCTGTACTTAGTGGCAGTACAGATTGGCCCATTTGACACAGATGTAGAGTGACACATGGGCACAATGTACCAGGGGGGTGAGAGGATTCCACGTCCACCAGCAGCTCTGACCCCTTCCTTCAGTGAAGTCAATCAGGTTGTTAACATGCTCAGGGTGGTTTCACAGTCAATCTCCTTCTGCCCCATAGCTTTTGACCTTCTGACATATAAGATGGATGGACTGTCTGTGGATTTGATTTTACATAATAGCACAGACACAAAATAGAAAGAAATTTAAAGAGTTCCTTCTGCTTTCTTTCAGGAACAATACTGCTAGTATCAACAAAGCCTGGATTTTAATACATGGAGATGGGGAATAATCCCATGAGACACAAAACTGACTCTGTTTCAGTTTTTGAAAGGACAGACAGGGAATGCAAAATATAACAAAATATTTCTATACTACAAAAAGAAGTGATCTAAACCAATCAAGTGCACCCAGGGAATAAAAACCTCTGCAATGTGGAGTTGAAAGGAAATATGTCCAGTAGTGGGTTGCAATTCTTTATTTCTGATTCATAGGTGTATATATATCCATACAATGCTATTAGATATCCTTGTATTGCTTAATCTATAATTTAAGTCAGCATAGGTATTTTAGCAAAAGAATTTGCAACTACTAATTTATATTTCATCTGAGCACTCTGATACACAGTAGAAAAAATCCATATATAAAAGCTTGTATCTGTGCAATACATACTATATTTCTCTTTCAACAAACTACTGATTTAGTAATATTGATATGTTATTGTTAGTATAACATAGAATTGCTTTATCATAACATTAAAAAACTTTTCAAAATATATTAATAAGCAAAGATAACCACACTTTGATCCTGCAATCATTTTTTAACTATCACATCAATGCCCCATTTTGTTTTAACGTGCCATCTGGCTTAAACAAATTCCTTTCATCTCAGGCTGCCACCATTATTGTGCCCATAATAATAATATTAATTTGTAACTTTGCTGCTTAGTAATTTCACACAAAGCAAGTAGAATTATCTCAACCCTGAGCTGACGTCCACCATTAAAATCACAAATCTCTTATACCCCACACAGGTCTCAAAGAGTGAATGAAGATTTGTGCTGAACCTCTGCTTTGTGGCGAACTTCTCTTCTAGTGGAAACTTTTCTCATCTATTGTGTAACACAGATCATGTGGCTCGTCTTAAGAGGCTTCAACTACAGGTCTACAAAAGATGCAACTTCATGCTACTAAATGCTTTAACAGTTTAGATCTTAATGAAGCTTAATTAGCATCTGGAAGTCAATACAAATATTAATCTGTACATAAAACATTATCCCCAATATACTAAGTGACAGCACTTTTATAAGGCAGACACAAGCCAGGATTCAAATATCTGAGAAAAGGTGGACACTGCCAGACTCTAGTTTAGGACAAGGTTACAGAGCAGCAACAATGGTCAGCAGGATTAGGCCCTTCCTTTGTGAAAATTTACAGAACTGACAGAAAGATGTCATACAGCAGACTAGCAAGTAGGACAGAGACACCAGCACAGAGCAGAGGGCACATATCTTGGTTTTCACATTGGCCAATAAGAAAGCACTCTTCTGCCCTTCTGACAATTTTGTCAGTCTTCATTACAATGGCTGAACAACTACGCTCACCACAACAAGACACTTGCTTCACTGCTTGCAGACTACCTTGCAAATACAAGACAGAAACTGACAGAGTTGGAAATGTGCAACCCCCCCAAAAAAACAATCAAGCTTTTAAATGAAGGACAGAACAGGACTTTCAGTTTAGATCCTGCTGAAAAATGAAGGCTCATGCTCTACTGACTCTGCTTAAACTTTATGCCCCAAGAATTACTTTGCTTGTTTTCTCTTTCATCAATAATTCTGAACTGAAAGCAGGACTAGAGTTAGACCATACTAATAAGGTGCAACTTATCTTGAATTGTTAAGTCTAAGGATTTCTTTACAAAGTAAAGAATGCACAGATGTAATTCTAGGGCATACAAGAATCTTGTGAAAAAAAGGTAGTATTTGAGAGAGTATGTAATAATAAGACTTCCATTAGGACTTCCCAAAAGGCAGGCAAGTCAGCAGGTTTGGAAAATGCCTATGTGTATTCATTAGAGTAAGGGCAAACATTTGTCATTTTCTTGACTCTCATATTTTTAAAACTGACAAACAGAGATCACTAGATAATTAACTTGCACACTTCTGTAAAAGCATAATCTGAGAAACTAAAGCTATTTCCCAGTAAGGAGTAGGACTTACTACAGTATCTTTTTTGCAAATAAATAGGACCCCAGCAAACAAAAGATGCTTAGGGTTTTTCCATTTTTCTTTTTACTGGTGTGTTCTGTGACACAGACAATAAATACCATTATAAGACCTATTTTTATCTAATAGAAACACTTGGAGCAAAATTTTAACAAATCTTCCTAACAAATGAGTATGGCTTCCAGCTTTCAGCTCCCAGTAGGAAATAATATTTGATTCATATTCAGAGAATTAATAGCCTTTACAATTGGAGAGAGGATGTCACTTGAAGACTCATAACTTTTAAAAAAGTGTTCTGGAAGATACAGACTTAGAAAGCAGCAATAAATTAATGCTCCAAGAATTTTAGAATATATGAAAGTATTTTACAGGATTAGCTGCTTTGAGGAAATTATGCCTAAAATAAATATACTAAACGGAATTATTAAAATAAAGTTAATTTCAGTTACTCATTCATCCTCTGGGAAGTATAACGAGACTAATTATTATTTTTTAGTATATCACACTTTTCTCTGGTCAAACAAAAAAGTCATTTAATGAAGATGGAAAGACTTTCAGACCTCAAGAAACACAAATTCATAAAAGCATGAATAGTTTGTGTTGGAAGGGCCCTTAGGAATCATCTAGTTCCAGCCCCTTTGCCTTGAGCAGGGACACCCTTCACTACAACAGGCTACCCAAAGCCTGATCAAACACAGCCTGCCAAACTCAAGGAAGTCCTGCATAACTTCTAAAGCTTTTTTAAACAGCAAAGTTGCTGCTGCTCTGTGACACAAGCAAGCTAACATTTATTGTAAAAACAACTATTGTGTTCAGCTATGCATAAACATTAATATGCTGAAGACAAAAATTAAAAAATCCCCATCCTCATTGACCTATTCATGAGGCACACTGTTGGTAAAATGGTATCCTTTTAAACAGAAATGGCACTCACAGAGAAACCAATGCTAGATGATATAGCTTTCCTAATGAAAACTGTTTCTGAAAACAACAAAAATAACCAGGACCCAAAATTCTGCTGTTTCCATGGCCATAGGATTGGCTCTTTTGGTCTTCTTGAACTGCTGAATGACAGGGGAAACTTATAAACCAAACAAAATTGACCAAATCACTTATTGTACAGCGTGGTTGTGATTGTCTGGGTGATGAAAATCCATGTGAACCCTCTTCTTCAAATGCCTGGCAATGATGCTTCTTATTTCAGGGTCATGTCAATCCTGTTTATTAAAGACAAAATGACAAAGAACAACAACAAAAAATTAATGAGTGCTCTGAAAACAGAGCTAGTTATTTCCCCAATCCTGAGCTCCCACAAAGTGTTTAGTAGCCTTATCTCTCATTTGCTTAAATGCAGTAGTGAGAAATAACTTGCATCTTATGTACATCTATGAAAGTACACACTTTAATAAGTTATGTTACTGTTTTATTGGAATTAACAACTACTTTTTCAGCAGTTGCAATTTGAAGTGTATCACGTGTGGGAATATCCCCTGGTGGAATGACACAACAGTGTGGCAGGAATGGGTGCTCCTAAAAACGTACCTAAGCGTACAGTTTTGCTACATAGTGCAAAGCACATGGCATCAACAACTTTAGAAGTATTCTTTAGAGTAAGAAGTTGTCTTCATAAATGTTGCCCCAAGATACAGGCTTCCTTGAAGAATACATAATTCAAAATTTCCTCAAGATTTATGAACTGTTACACAATGGTTCTTCCACTATGAATTATTTCCCAATATTTCTTTTAAAGTCATGGAGAGGTGAAAGGAGTTGAATAAAACAGAACAAAAGGGAGCATGATAATAGACAAAAGCCTTTGGAACAAAATGAAAGAGACAACAGAAGCAAACTAAGTGCTGGGCAGACTCCAGAGGTGCTTCAGCAGAAAGCATACAGAAAAAAAGTCTGTGTAAAACAGCTGTTCTCAGAGTGAAGGGATTTACATATGATGCTATTTCCTGAAGAAATGACACGACAAATAAGAGATATGATCACAGGAAAACTATTGCCACTTCTGAAGACAGATTCATATTTATGCAGAGAAAATAAATGCCATGAATTAACATTAATTTGGCCTTAACTATATTTATTTAACATAAATGTACATTCTCTTCTCATATTTCTTTTTGCTGCCCAGCTTATTGTTTGAGAAAAACAGGAAAGCTGTTCAAGCCACAAAAGGTCAAAATCATGCACAGTCTTCAACATGTCATTTTTTGTCCTTATGTCATCTTTTGTTCCTACTTTGAAAAACAGTTTTCATATTGACTCATTATAGAATAAAACAGTGTCTGAGAAAAAAAGAGATGAAGTGAAATATGAGTTCAGGAATCAAGAATTTAGCTTACGGTTATAACCTATGTATAAGCTATCACAGAGTGATAGCTTACTAGAGCACTGCTTGGGTTTTTTTGGTTTTGGTTTTTTTTTTTTTTTTGAAGTGAAAACCAAAGCTTCAATTTATTTATGCAACTTTTTGCTACATACTCTGTTAATTATTTGCCTGTTTATTAATAGTCATGTTATTGGTGGAATCTTTTGTTGAGGATTCAGGTTTACTGCAGAGTATTTCCCGCACAGTGTGAGACAACAGTGATTTCTGTATTTCTATAGACCCATCAGACGGGCAGGGAGAGCAGAGGCCTCAATCCCTCTGCCCTGTGCAGGGACACTGGCCAGGACACACACTCCTCCTGCTGCAGGGCTGGCTCTCCTGACATGCTGTTCCAGCAGGGAATTGCCAGCGCTCCTGCGACACACTGCACCTACAAACACTCCCACTGATCAACAGGAAGAGCAGCACTGCAGGGTTTTCCATTTCCATACTACAGTTCTGGAATCAGACAGAGCAATGGCACACCAGGGGACTGACACATTCCCATTTCCAAGGGAACAAGTCCATCTTTGAAAGGAAAATACGTAAAGATGCTTGAGATTTAAGCAGGAAAATAATTATGAAAGAAGCTAAGAAGCAGAAAAGCAAAGAGAAGGCACATGTTAAAAGTATGGCCCAGAAATCAAAGTAAAAGATAAGACTTTTAATCTTTGAATGAGAATAGCAAGTTTAAAATTTAGGATAATGGATGGAACCATCGTCACTGTGATCATCCTCCACTTTTTCTATCTGTTTTTAATATAATTTGATCAGAATATTCTCAGGCTAACAATTATATCTCTCTCTGCCTGGAAATGATTAAGGACGCCTCAAGTACATTCCTAATGCAACACAAATATAACAAATCTTCAATGTATAACACATACATAAAGTGTATAAAATATAAATATAGCAAAGCTTCAATACTTTTTCTGCTTGTGCCATGTTGCTCCTGAATATTATCATAAAAGTATTTAGGTCTCAAAAATGCTTTAAGGAGTCTACCCAGCCTCAGTTCCCAGCAGTATGGTTGTAAAGCAATGTTAAAATGTAATGACAGTATTAGGCATAAATTCTTACTCCTGCTCCACTGAAGCCATTTCTGGATCATTTGAGAGGCAGCTAGTTCTGGATACAAGGAAAAAGATGAGTAAACATTTTTTCTGTGTTGATTTCTTTCTCTTTTAAAATATGACATCAAATTTGGGGATGTAATAACTAACTGTAGTGAGTACCTTTGACAGCACAAACACACAAATGTTGTTTTTAGGAATCTAGGGATCTTAGTACCCACAACACACGTTAGTTTGAGTAACAAAATTTTAAGCTATTTCTTTAAGTTAGGGAGGGGAAATGCGCTAGAGTGATCTCATACATCCAACAGTAACAATAATCAGTGATGCCTCATGTGAATATTTCATTCCCCTTTCACTTGCTACACTGCTGTCTCTACTATTTTAAATGGAGTAACAAAAAAGCAACTTTTTTCAAGAGTTCTCAGTGCCATATGCATATGTTTATATGACAACATTGCATATACAATGCATTTGAAAATGTCTGAACAGAAGGGATAGAAGTTGTATTTCAAGGGGGGCTAGGCCTTTTAGTTTAACAAAATAGTCAGGTGGTATCAGATAACGGCTTATGTGAATTTATTGCTTCTGAGGCAGTGTTAACTCCTGGAATCAAAAAGCAGTGGCCAGTGTTTTAGGTATTTCTCTGCAGCTGTTTTAGAAAGTGACCTCAGAAGAACTGAAGAAAAATGTGTACTGCAAAAGAAGGAACTTTTGGAAAAAGTACAGCAAAGTAGAAGCTGTAAATTGAAAATCCTGAAGTGCATAAGCAAAAGGAAGGCGACTGGAAAGAAATTTTAAAACTCAAAATCTTTAGTTAAAAAAACTGCAAGGGAGAATGTTATACTAGAACCAACAGACACAGACTTCTCCTCAGAAATCTGGTGTACAATACTCACATGAGGATAGTGCATTGTACACTTTCTAAAGCTCTGTTCATGGAGTCATGGACTGTGCACTTCTTAAGGATTTCTTTCGTACTGTACACCATACTTCCACATTATATTCAAGTCAAAGCACGAAGTTATTATTTTAAAGTATCTGATCACCATGTGCCCCTGTTTTATTAAGTAACCACAGGCAATATAATATTATTATCAAGTATTAATTCCACAGCCTATCCAGCTAACATTGGAAAGACAGACGAATTTGCATACCTATCTTAACTGAGATAGCTAACCCTGATTTAATGAACTGTAAAAAAAATCATAGAAAGAACTCTTAAAAACTGTAAAAATCATCTGATATAAGAGGAGAAGAGTAGAAAATGTTTAATGATCAATTTTAATTGAGTATGTGAATTCAGTCATTCCCATGACTATAGAAACAATCACCAAAAAACAGCAAAAAAAATTTTTATAGTGCAAGGATATGATTATTTATTACTGAGATTCAGCAGTACAAAAGCAGTGAGAGGGGAAGTCAATTCTCCAATGGGGCAACTTACACAGTAATTGAAACTACAAGCTGCCTGTTGTACCAAACACAATGTACTACTGCATTCAAGCTACTCCTGTGAAACATTATAATGCCAGGATTCAGCTGAAAGCTATCTTACTTAGCTGTTTCTGAAGCTTCCCTCAGCTCTTCATCCAGTCTGCATGAGTAAAAGTTATTGATATAAAGAAACAGAGAAGCAAGCAGAGCATAAGAGTGAAGCAGAGCAATAGCAGAGCAAAGAACAAATACATTACATGCTTTTGTAAGGCACCCAGTATGATTTAGGGCTAACCCTAAAGCTCTTCAGTTCAGTACAATACTATTTATCCCTGTGCACAACCCACCTTAAATTTGTAAGTCCTTATTTAGCTCACTTGGAGGCAGAGACAGAGAAGCAGCAGGGGTCTGAGGCATGCCCAGTGGACAGAGCTGAAAGCATTCAGTTGCTCTGTCAGGTAATGTTAAACTAGCTGCAGCCTGGGCCAAGTCAAGGCCATTTACAGTTCAGTGAGTTTTATTTGCAAGGGAGGCTGATCTCAACAGCTTGAAGGAGAAAGTAAGATGCCATGTCTTTGCAAGTCCTCTCTCATTCAGCTGTTGAGGTCGCCTGCAGGTGAAAGGCTGTCACACAGATGCACTCTATTATGAGCAGCAGCATGGGCTAGAAAGCAAGTTTTACCTCATTCTTCTCTTAATACACTTATCTTCATCATACCTTACAAGATAAGAATGGATGAAGGAAGAGAAAATATGTACAAGTTCATATACAACAATCATATAGTATCATGCTTCACTGAAAACTACCAAGAAAATCACATAACCCAAATTCTGGCATAACACCAAGTACTTTCTAAAGGTGGGGTTTTTCTTGCCCATAGGTGGTATGCTTGTTCTTGGCAGTGGAGCAATTATGAAGACAAAAGATGAGTTGTATTTTTCTATAGGAATCTCTCCAAATTTGCAGCAAAGGGGGAGCTATGAACTGTACACTGCTCTTCTCCCTGTGGTATGAGAATAGCCACTCACAGTGCCCTGAACGCACACTGCCACTAAATCTTCTTATTACAACATCCTGAAATGCTTGCCACCAATGGGTGCAATTGTCATCTTTCCAGGTCTGTCTTTTTTCAGCAAAATCATGATCTCTCATCTGGCTGCTGATGACGTGAAGCAGGCATTACCCTAAAACTCTTTAAGTACTAAAGTTTCTTTGGTACTACGGCTGTGATCATTTCACCTTTGGTCTGAGAGGTGAATGGACTTTTTGAACACTTTTAAGTTTACAGGGAAAAAAATGTCTGCAACACAGATGTGTGTACTGCCACAGTGTAACAGTAAAACACAGCAAGGAAACAGACAGAAACTCTCTGAGGTTCGAAAAGGTAAGGTTTCTATCAAAGGGAATCATAAGAAACTAAAATGTTTACAGGAATCAGATGAAAATTTGTTAGGGATGTTAGAACATTAGGGACAACTCATTGTCAGTTGACCAACAGCCTCTGCTCCACATTCTTATGGTCACTCCGCCTCTAAAGAAGTTACAGCAGCAAATGAACCTCAGTGAAAGTCTCTGTGACCCCTGATCTTGCAACTGTAATTTACTGTTTCCTCAACTGCTGCTGCCACACCTGAGCTTCCCACCTGCTCCCTGGAATTGCACCAGCAGCTTGACAAAGAAATTTGCTTTACAACTACTGTGAAACAGGTGTGAAAGCTCCTGCCTGGGTTGAGGAGATGTATGACAACTGACCAGTCATAATGGAAATACAATCATACTTGCACATCTACTCTTCAAACTACCTTCTAGAATAGGCAATTCAAAACCTGGGACAATCAAAACCTCTCATTTGCTAAAGAGAACAATTAAAAATAAAATCCTGAACACAACATCTTTTTAATAATGACTAAATGAAAACCATGATTTTTTCAGTCATGCTTCTAGTCTTAGTATATTACTTCTTTTTGTTGCTTTCAGGTCTGAAAAAAAGTCAGCTGAGGTGAGCAATGCCAATCAACTTCCTACAATTTTTTAACAGATATTTTCCTCTGGAAATGACTGCATTTAGAAAACCTCTTCACATAAGCAGCAAGAACTAAGAAACTATCTTTCAGCATTTGTGAATTTAACCACAAGAATTGACAAGGCAAGGACCAGTAAACCTATAGAATTTCATTGGTCTTCTATTGAATAGGCTATCCTTTAATTAACATTTCTGCTAAAAGCCCTGCATGACAAACTTGAAAACTCTTCCACCTAAATAGAGGTAAAAGTTATGAAAAAATACAGCATAGATGATTCCTCAGGAAAGGCCAAACAATTTCCCCACTCCCCTAGAAGTAAACAGTTCTTGTGTTTTGTGTTTCTGTTACACACAATGTTTCTGGTACTCAGTAATGTCCTGCCACTGACTTTGAGAGTGAAATGTCTGAGGAACAACACACAATAATTTTTAAAAACAACAGGAAAGTGCTTTCTGTTTTTCTTACAGTCTTTAATGCTATTATCAGTTTGTGGAAATAGTTTCCATTAGAACAAGTACGTGCTACTGTACATCACTTACTTGACAATACTGTCTGGTATATGCACATATTCCATTGGAATCATCTCACGAAGCTCTGCCAATGTGTTGACGTACTGTATCTTACTGCTGAACTTAGAGCTGAAACACAGGGAAAAAAGTATTAATTGACTGGCCCCCAATCTTTTATGACATGCTAAAACCAAATGAAGAAATGTATTAAATGCATGAAATAATTAAGCATTTGGATATTCGTATTTCAATTACAGACTGAGAGACTGGACTATTAATGTTTAATTACTCAAACAATCCACCTGCCACAGCGAAAAAAGGCTAATAAGAGGCAAGTCCTGTGAGGTGGGATAACACCTTTTATCACGCCAGTCCTCTCTTACATAATGGCTCAGGTGTGAAAACTTCCCTGTGTGGAAGAACCAGGACTTTCACACAGAGCCTGAAGGTATTCATCCCTGACATAACTGGTGGAACATAAACGACTCAGCTCTAACATCTTCGAAGGCAAGGCACTTGGGCAGTCCCACCTGAACTTAAGTGAATATAAATGCAATGGGCTCTGTGTTTTATGGGCTTCCCCCACTCAATGAAGACAGTGACCATAACTTTGACAAGACTGGAAACCTCATCACCAAGAAGACCAGAAGAAGAGGACCAAGCAGATGCCAACAGGATCACAGAGTGATGATATTTTTTCTACTTTGTCTGTGTTTGTCATGCTCTTTCTCCTCTCCTCCCACCCACTCTATTTCTTTCTCTCTCTCCCTCATAATTACTGCTAAATAAAAGTCTGTGCTTCAGCATATGGCCTTGTTTGCACCTTAACTCAGACAGAGTAATCTCTCTAATAATTTTAATAATCATATCTTAATGCAGTTCAGCTGATTATGAGCCTACCTGAATCACATTACTAAGCCAACATCATAAATTGTACTTCCTACATACTAGACAATGTGATTAGTTTTACAGTTGGAAGGAGATGTGTAAAAATTTGGAAAAGATTCAAAAATCTCTTATAGACTACTTACATGTAAAAAGAGACGGAAAGCATTACTTGACATGGATATAATCATAATCACAGTTATCAAGGGATTGTGATGACTCAGCATTTCTATTTTACACTAATTCTCAAACACAATAAAACTGAATTTCGTCATTTATTCAGAAGAGCATAGATCTGATTGTGTCTATTCTTACTGCAGTGTCTTTCCATATTCTTACTGCAGTGCCTTTCTATCACAAAATAATGTGTTTATTTCACCTTTCATTTATTGCGCTTATAAAATGATCACTTGGAAAAAAGGCTAAATTGTTCAGAAAACACACTTAAAACACAAGGCTATTTACTTGTCTAACCTAAGTTATTTGATAAGTGTGAGATTATGAGAAATCTTTCTCATTTGGCTTACAAAGCAATTTTTCACATTTAGCTCTGGTTGTATTTAGGTCATCTTATAACAGCAGTAATAGTGGCAAGCTCATATTGACCATATATGTAAGTGTAGGTCTTGAAAAACAGAGCACGTTCTTTCTATTTACTGCTGACCTGCAAGTACAGCCAGACAACATGAAGCCCCTGAAATAGCTCTGAGCAGAAGGTTACTGCCCCTCTCCTCAACAGAGGTATCTTCCCAATGATGCAAAGTGAGACAACTCACTTTGGGAACAGGAATACATGAAAGTGCTGTGAACAGTTGTTTAAGCTCACTCATTGTGATTTGTCTCTGTACCCAATTAGCATCACTAGACACACAGAGTGGTCACATTTTGGATGCAAGAATCACCCACAACTGTCCAGTCAAAGCATGGAAACATACAGATTCTTAGCATTTTATACAAATTGTTATCATAATCTGCAGCATCAGCATTGCTATCTGAACTAACCTGGAAAACTGCAAGCCAATCATAAGCTTCTAAAGACAGTGGGAAGGGATTAAAAAATCTTTCAATGGGTAGTTTTTTTTCCTGAGGATTCTTCTGGGTCCACTAATTCCACTACAGCGACTGATTTCTAATTCCTTCATGTGGGAGTCACTGTATGGGCATCCCAGACACAGTTTCTTTCAGACTTTAGGGAAAGCACGCTGCCAATAGTGGTAACTTTCCCTCATTTAAGTGTTTCTGTCAAATGCCAAGCATGTTTCACCACTTGATGAACCCCTTTGAAATCTAATTTCTTACCTAACACAGCTCAAGTAATTTTTGGCATAAATATCAACAGGGATTCTAAAAGAGTACCTAAGACATATATCTGCTATCTCTAGTTCTTTAATTCTATATATTCAAACAATGCTTTCTCAGTCAAGATGGTCCCACACTCCACTGAATTATCTTGCCAGTTTTTGAGGAAGAAAAAAGATAGAGCTGAGGTAGAACTGAGGGTATCCCACACTCAGCCACTTACCATTTTGTTGTCTTTCAGGTTTTTGATTTCTACTGTTTAGCCCCACATCTCAGCTGATATACAGTTAAAATTATGTTGGTTCCTTCAGCTATCTCACTGAAATCTCTGCTTGCCTTGTGGCCAATTAATTTCTCACTCTAAAATTCCCACTGTGCCTGTCATGGGTTCAGGGAACAGCTGAGGGCTAGCAAACTAAGCTATAGTCATTGGCTTTCAATCCAATCAAGTTTTATCTCCTTACCTCCTGAAGAAAGGGAAGGGAACTCATCATGTTCTTCTATCCTTGGTAAGGGTCCAAATATCTCATGTCATCCTCCACAAAAGTCATACTAGCCATGTGTCCTGCCCACCTTTTCAGCTTCTATTTGCCCTTCACTTTCTTCTTGCACCAAGACTCAGTCTACCTGGCTGAGATAGTCACTAGTGTTTCTTGTTCCACACTGCTAATCTGCTTTGCCAAACTATTTAGAGTGAACATTTTCTCCTGTTTCACAATGAAAAACCTCTCGTCACTGCTGCTTAATATAGCTACTTTGAATAAAGGACTAATGAATTGAAACAGACATGACTTTTATAAAAGACCAAACTGTCATTTATGGGAGCAAATAGGATGGCAACTGAAATATCTCAGATATCAAATGCAACTCAGCAAATCCTCCTAACTACTGTTGATAATTCCAAGTATTGTTTCACTTTTACTCTGGTATTCTGAGTAACTTTCATCTTAGTCTTTAAGACAGCACATCTAGAAAGGAGCTCTGTTACGACATTCTGCCTGCTGGACTTTGGCAGCAATGGGACAACTCATGTGCTTCCCCAACCCCATGTCACTCTATCAGGACAGAGCACCCTGGGACTGTGATCTCCACAGAGATCTCCACCTGCAGAGTCTTCACCTGAAGACTGTAAACAGAACTCCCCGAGATCTATCATGACACAAGTCATTCTCTGTGTGGCTTTTGTAGCTGAAGATTCGTCTCTTGCCTGAAGCAACTCTTTTTCACTCGTGCAACTTTGCTCTCCTTGACTGCATACTTGCCTATCCTCTGCAGTGTGAGATCTTTGAAGTTGGTGACTTTTTTTTAAAAATTGTTTTACTAATCAAACCATTATTTTTGACAGTGTTAAACATTTTTTGAATCCAAATGCATTCAAACACCTCAGGGTGCAGACAGTTCCTCTTGTATGAGCTATGAGCAGTCATGATATTTTAAAAACCCAGAACCGTAGCCTAATCTTGTTCTGCAGCCAGTTTTTTTTAATAAGGTGATTATAATTACATGCAGTCCCCTTTTCTATATGCCTTTTATCTGGATTCTGAACAAAGGCTATTTTAAGGAACTGAATTCTCAGAACATACACATAAACATACACATAAACATACAGGTTTAGAAAACCATGCCTATGACTTCCACAACTAGATACTCATACTCACATGAATCACTTTTTTTTCCCTTATTCACCTTCGGAAAGCGAAATTCGATTTCCAAAATCCCAACATGAACTATAAAATGAGCACTATTCAGCGAATGATTAACAGCCACAGTTTGATGATTTAGGGTGCTTATGTATTCTCAAGGACATAGAAAATCACAGGTATTTGCTACATACCTTATAAAAGGTCGTGTTACAGCCAGAATTGTCCTGATAAACCATGATGGATGAACAATTATAAATGACTTCAAATTCTTCCGTAATCTAAGTAACAAAAGCAATAATTTCTTAGCAAAACAGAAAAACTACAAAAGATAAAGAAAGATCATACACAGTAAACCCTAGCATACAGGAGCGTTACAGAAATGGACACTATTTAAAATAATGGCTGTGGATCAGACAGGAAAACACTACTTACCGTCGATCAATCATCTGATAACATTTTTTCATCCAACCCAATCCAGGCATCCTTCTTCTTGGTGTTGCTCCATTCAAGTAGACAATCATATAGTCTTCAGCTACCATCAGCTCTAAGGTACTGATTACATATCTGATAGAAGTACAGATGTCAGTGAGCATATATGGTACACTACCTGATTGATCCCAAACTAAATCAGGCAGTTTATGACAAGATAGGCCTTTCTTTTCCTTTAAACAAAACCAAACATATAGCACTGATCACCATGGTACCTACAGATACACACAACTAGAAAACCACAGTCTTACCTGTGCCTTCAAAAATATATGGCTTCCTCACAACAACAGAGTTCTGTAGTGAGTTTTCAAGTATCACTGGTGAATTTGCTTTTTCTTAAAAAGTAATTAAGTCAGGAGATTTTGCAAGGGAGAACCTGGCATCCTGTTAAGTCCTAGGAACTTCTGAAATTAACTCTTGAGAAACTTCTATTCACTGTTCCAATCACCAATTTTGCTCAATACAATAATAAAAGATGTCAGAAGATACTTGTTTATACTTCATGTGATCCTTATAGTCCTGCTATCGAGTCTGTGACTGCAAAATACAAATACTTTGACACTCAAGCCCAAGAAAACCTGTCCATCAACCTGACATCTGATGGAACAGAGCACTCCACTCCATCACTTCATTCACAGTGAGCAAAACTCTCCCAGCACCCGTTATCATACAGTGCTCTTGGGACCAAATGCATTCTACCTATAGAGCACACAACTCATTCAAATAAGCAGACAGTTAAATTCTTGTTGGGGACTACCTATGCAGATGATCTACTTAGATGTCCCTACTCCATGTGGGAGCTGATCATCACAGGAATGTTCAAATTGTTCTCTCTACTATCCAGCCTCAAGGCATGCCTATGTAAAAACTAGAATGCAAAACCACAAGTCACACCTTAAAAACCTGAATGCCTCAGTGCACTCACTACAAAAGGCAGCTCTATCCCTAAGCATAATGGCCCCTTTCAGAGCTGTATGGGAATGCCTCACAATCTAATCTGACCCTTAAATTCCTTAGGATGCAATGTCTTTAGAAGAATTGCAAGAAATCTAGTTCTCACCAGAGAGTGGTATTTTACCGGGGCATAAAGCAGGCAAAATTAACTAGACCAGTTCCATGCATTTGGTAAATGCCATCCAAATCCCAACCCCCTGAATGCATTCCACTGCTCATTCTTACCTTGCAGTTGTGCACTCCCTGCTTTTGCCTCACATTTGTGAAGGCTTATGTCTAACAGTGATATAGGAAAGCAAGGGATTGCATGGACATTCTGATGCATAAAGCTTCATTTAATAGCTACTTCAACAAAGATACTATTCAACAGGTGATAAGATTAGCCCTTCCCACGCGGCAGAACATCTAGTGCTTTAAAGGCACTTAACACTGAAACATACAAGTTTCTAAGTGCAAGTGTGTAAGTATGTATTAAAATATGACAAGACTTTCAGTCATGGAACGTGACAGTCCAAAAATGTCAAGGGAGCAAGAGTTCCCTTGCAAATTATACCTATCTAATAATTTCTTATTATTTTATAATAATGGCAATTTCTTCTTTATTTGAAAATATGGACAGAAATTTTCTCATTGACTAGAACAAATGAATCACTGAGAAAGCAAAGTGCTGCTTTTGTTTTCAATGTGTAGTTTTTCAAATTGAGATTATTTTAAAAAAATTTTATCTGTGGACTAGCTTTAATCTGACTTCCAGGCAACCACAAATTAAAAAGTAGATTTTTTTTAATGTGGTTCTGCACTATCTACAAAAACTGCTGTAGAAGATGTTTCAAGAATTTTCACACAAATTCATCCCTTCAAAGACAATTTTACATAATTAGTTAATATAAAAAATAGGAAGAAGATAACTGGAAATGTAAAAGGAATTCAGATGGGAAAGGAGATGTTGAGGACAGTTGTTAATCACAAGCTAGAGGTAGCTTATATGCTACCAGAAAGATGCTGTATAAAAAAAGAGATTCAGTGGTTTGCAGGTCTCTCCAGATCCCTATATAATTCAATAGTAAAGAATTACCAAATATTTTAAAATATCAGTTACTGTATGTTTAGCAAACTGTTGTACTCTCTCTCTTTCCATGCAGATCTAGAATGGAAAGAAAGAGTTGAACTTTCTCCTTTTTCTTCTTTTTTGGAGAGACCCAACTGTCTACAAGACTTAAAATAAGCTGCAAGTTCACAGTCAACATGAACTCACATTTTTATTACTACTCCAGAAAAAGTGACTTACAAAATTGACTTCAGCAATATACTTAAGCCATGTAGAAAAGGCTCTTAAGGCTTTCTCTGCAAAGTTAATTTATCACCAGTTCTATCTGAACAAGGGTCTTGGGTGAAGACAAAGAACAACTATTGAATGTCAGTCACGGTTACAGTCAGCTTTGTTCCTTACTTATCAAGTGAAAACCACTGAAGTAATTCCTTCTTCTCTTCTAAATCACTGAGCATTGTGTGTATCAGTTACTATAGATCACATTGAATTCTTAGAGGCTCAACCAGGCAAATGATACCAGTTGTTCTGACCACAAACTAAAACACTGAGTCTTGATTTTCACACATAGAGACAATGTTAAAGGCACTGGGTGCCAACAAGTACATCTTCACAGGCTGGAATATTAAGCAGACCTGGGTCTGTGCTCTCAGTGCCTTCTAAGCTGCAAATGGCTTTAAATATTACTTACTGCATTTTAGCACAGAAAACATTGGAATGATTGATTTTTTTTAACAGCTGTAAGTGGAAGTAGCTGCAGGCACTTCAGGAGAGAGTTGCCTTCAAAATTTTGGGCTGCCAAACCAATTGCTATTAGGAATAATTTTCCTGTGATAGATTTGGGGTTATGTGTCCAAATTTGTGTCCTGCCCAACTGGCCCCTGCCACTTCTAGCTGAATTAGAAGCAGCTGGAGTCAGGAAGCATAGTTAGAGATGCTTGTGTCACCAATTGCCATTTATCCTGTTTTTAAAAAGCAAGTGTCAAAAAAAGGCCCAGTAACTCCTAAACCAAAAACATGTTCAGGGATACATCATAATAATAAACAATGAACAGTGAAAAACTGTCTAGGCCCCTGCTGACTGCTCTCAACAAGACCTGGAAATCATTAGTGAAATTGTGTAAAGACTGTAGCCCCAACAAGGTGAAGATATCGCACTCCTTGGCTTTTAGAGAGATACTAACAGTCAGATTTGGTCCTGACAAATGCACCTTAATTTGGGAAGGTGAGTAGGTAAAGGATACCAAAATAATACCCCACTGGGCAGTTTATCTAAAACTGCTTTTTTCCTTGTCACTCCCCTTCTAATGGCCAAAATTACCTCTTAAGGAAAGACAGGTTACCTCTCACTGCATTATTCTGAGTACTAACTCAAAAGACTTTGTCACATTGCTCACATATCACTCACAGGAAAAGATTTTCCATGACATAGTTGTAATCAGCTCGACTGCTGTCTGGCAAGAAGCATGCCGCAAACACAATGATAGCATTCAGACCATCACCATAGTATCCTGTGGAAAAAAAAATGAAAAAGCATTTTTATCTTTTCCAAAAGCTTTTAACAGGATAATTTTTTTAAATCCTGTAATAAAGCTACTATGTGTACTGCTGAAGCATCCCAGAATGCTTCATACTGAAGGTTTGAAAATATATGAACTATTATAAAGTGATAAAGAAGTTGGACAGTCAGCTAAGCTGAATCCTCAAAAAACACACACACCACAACTACTAGTAAACTTTTTATAGTGACTAGCAAAAAAACCCTCTAAAGCTTCTACTTCCAGTTCATTGCAGCTCTATGGCAATCATGTACTGAATGCTCACCTCAGACTGAGGAATAAGGGAGTAAAGAAAATATCCTGCATTTGTTGTCCTGCAAAGTTTGAATTATGTTTGGTAAAGTCTTGCAGTCCAATCTCAGTTGGCCTGTGCAGCTCCAATGGCTTTAGAACATTATAATTATGACTGCACTCCACTATCCCTTAAAAGCTCCTGGGGATCATTTAAATCCTCTGCTGCAAGTTTTGTGTAAATTACTTTTTAACCTTCAATGCTCCAGTTGTCCAATACTGGCATTCTCTGGGCTGCATCACTGACTAATGATAGCTGTAAATCTTCAAAGCTGTAGCACTACCAGTTCAGGGCCCAGCATGGTTGCTTATTATCCAAAGGAATATGTTTCTGTTTCATGATGGATTAATGCTGATTAATTGTCTCCACAACCCTTTGCAGCTGCCATGGATTTTCTGTATTTATAATAAATAATAAATAAAAAACATTCCTGCATTTCAGTTGAAGGTTTTGCTTAAAGGATACATGCAATAAGGAGGGGATTTATAAAAATGCCGTAGGAATGGCTGTAGGTAGACAGCACTAGTGATGCAGAGACAGAAGACAGATATACTCAGAGAACATTCAAAAACCTTTTGAGTCTAGAAAAAACAGACACTAAGTGAGAGATTATAATATTTGTGAAGGAAACTTCAATTCCTCTCAGGAACATGTTTTTATGACAAAAACTAAAGGCTTATACTAACACTTAAACAACCTTTGCAAAAGGAGATTCTAAGACTTTTACAGTGCTTTCTTGATACTGGAGAGCAATATCCAAACGTAACTAAAGTGCTTATGAAATTCAAGTCCTGTTTTCAGCATGTATTCTTATTCAGCTAGATTATTTGGAATTGTGCTGGTTTCAGCTGGCAGAGAGTATGTTTTCTTCACAGTGGCAAGCATGGGGCTGTAGTTTTGATTAGCACTGAGATCAGAGGGCTGATAATACAGAGATCTTTTTATTATTGCTGTGCAGTGTTCACAAAGCACCAAGGCCTTTCCTGCTTTTTATACTGCCCCCCCACCACTCAGAGAGCAGGCTGAGGATCCACAAGAACTTGGAAGGGGAAGGGGACATTGCCAAGACAGCTGACCCCAATTGACCACAGGGATATTCCAGACCATATGGCATCATGCTCAGGAGAGGAAGAAGGAGGAAGTAGAAGGGGACATTTGGAGTGATGGCCTTTATCTTCCCAAGTGTTTTGTGTGATGAGGACCTGCTCTCCTGGAGATGGCTGAACACCTGCCTGTCTTTGAGAAGTAGTGAATGAACTTCTTGTTTGACTTTCCTTGTGTGCACAGATTGTGCTCTATGTATTAAGTTGTCCTTATCTCAACCCAAGACTTTACTCATTCTTACTCTTCTGATTCACCATGTGGGAGTCAGCAACTGACTGTGTGGGGCATGGCTGCCAGTTGGGTTTCAACAACAGGCAAAAGCAGTATTTCTCTCCCCCTCAGGTTTACAAATAGGGAGGACATTTCCTTCCTTCCATAAATTTAATAAAATTTATATATACATTTTATATATAAAATGTATATATAAAAAGCAATCTGTCCAGCTGGCAGGCTCAGGAATTTGGCAGTAAGAGCACATTATGGCAGGTGCATCCACTAAATTACACAACACAGTTTGCAGTTCATGGAAAGTAAAACAATTATGTGCAGATGCTAACTAACAACACGCAGAAGAAAAATCCACAGATAAATCTAAGCCCTTTTTTCTCACACATGCTTGAGGAGAAGGAATGTTCACCCTAGGGACAAGTGTATTTTAATTCATCACTAAATGCCAATAAAAGCCATTTGCCCAAAATCTCAGCCTAAAGCAAAGAAAAAGATCTCTAAGAAATCTCCCCATCAGGATATACTAAAGACAATCTCAAACCTAGGCTGCTAAATCTACTCTCCCCTTTCCTATTTTATAGCTACCACCTAGGTTCTGCATTTGCTGTTATCTGTCATTTGGTAGGGAGGAATGTTCAGTAGATCTTTGAATCAAGAAATGCTTGATTTGACTTCCTATTGACTAATTTTAGTCAGAAACTATTATTATTCTTGAGATTAAAGAAAAGACTCCTGGCCCTCTAAACACTCCACTGAAGTACTGCCAAAGGGAACTTCATATGGAATGGGCCTTGCTGCCATAATGTAGAAACTGTTTGAGTTGTCCAAAGTTTTCCACATTAGATGCAACAACATGATTTTGTTTCCTTGTCTTCAGTCTGCCACTTCATAAATACAGAATTTAATCCAGTCCTTAACTTACTTTGATTTGCCTAGATATCAAGAAAAATTTCCAGTTTAGCCAGCAGCAGGCTGAAATTTATTGTTAGATCTTATACTGTTTGTTTTACAATGACTAATGCTATTGACTAATAGCAAAAAAGCCTTCCAAAAGTAAAAAAACCCTAAATGCTCTTTATCTTACATTTGTGATCCAATCAAAACATCAGACATTTAAACCTTGAATTCATATTATTTCATACTGTGAGAGTAGAGCTGAATTACCTAGGCTCCCATTAAACACTGATTTTTCACAAAAGCTGATATAAACATAAAATTCAACAGTAGTAGGAAATATACAATTTTTACTGCAAATGCATATTGACTAGTTTACAGCACACAAAAATATATAAATAAACAACATTAGCAAGGCCCAAAAGTATTTTGTGTTTGTTTCCTAAATTAAACCATCTGGGTATGTTTGCTAAATTGCGTCTGAGGTGTCATCACATTCACAAATCTTTGATGGTAGTGGGGTAGTAGAAAAAGAGTTGAGCCCTAAAATCTTTAATAATTCTGGTTAAACCTTCTGTACATGAATAGCTGTAGGCAAGCATTTAGCTGCTTTTAATGTAAAAATTAACCATCAATTATTTATGTAATTTTACCTTACATATGCTCAACACTGAAAACATTTTAACTTCAACATTTTAGTATCTTTAACTTATGCTACAGACCAACAACACTGTGAAAAAAGCATCCTCATATAAACTCATAAATCTTACCTCTGAGATGCTACACTACCTGTCTCAGTTTTTGCAGGAATAAAACAACTCATCTTAATACCTTGCTATATACCAAGCTAATACCTTGCTTAACAGATAGCAAGGAGTGTCCCCCAAAAATACAGAATCCAAAGATAATCCAAATCTGAGACACCAAGGAAAAGGCACTTAATAGTAATACTTACCCATCTGAATTAATTTAAACAGATGTGTACTAGTAACACTGAAATTATGAATTCTCTGAGGAAGATGGGAAGCAGATAAGCAAATGAGAAAATACAGCAAGCACATGGTGCCATTTTCCTCCTTTTCTTTGATATATTATTTGATAGTTATTATGCTGCTGACAACTATAAATGGCAGAAAAATAGCATAAGGGGGATAGCCATATGAATGGAAGCCCCATTGTTTTTCTTTTGCCACTCTACTTGTTTAGAATCTGCGCAATCACATACATCATTCAATAAATCACAGAGCATTACACTTCCTCACGCAAAAGGTTTTGTCAAAACTCACCAAATAAAGTTTTCAAAATTTTATTTTGCTGTAAGTCAAAAGCTTTTTTCCTTGTCTCAGACAGTTTTACCCTACAATGACCAGATGGCTCCTGACACAAATATGTCAGTATTTGGAAGCAGTATGCTGCTTCCAAAATAGCTTTAAATTTAAAATTCTTATTAGTCATTGCCCCATTGAACTTAAAGCCTGGCTGACTTCAGCCAAAGCTGAAAAATAAATTTTCTCTCCCCTTGTCAATATGATAATGGAACAAAAAATAAATCATGATCAATAAAGTATGAATTTTTTACATCAATTTAAAAAATGCTTGCAGCTGCTCCTACCTCCATGAGAAATGACCTTTTTGTATGGTTCAATGACTTTCATATCAATTCTCTGTTCTTGTTCTCCAATAACCACTGTTCTCCATAACCTGTTGTCCTCTCGCTCCTCTTCAGCAGAGTACTCAGGGATTGATTCAGACTCCTCCTGGGAAGCATCTTTAGCAGCAGTCTGCTCTTCTGAAAAAGGGAACTGTATGTATTACCTCCTCCTGTTAAAGCTCTAAATATTTTTGCTGTTACATACATTTGAGATGGATGACTGAAATTAACTGCATTTTTACTGTACTGGTATAAATAAGAGCAGAATGACACATATTTGAAGTATACTGTTCTTTCTAAAACATTATTCTGTCTCTGCAGTCATAAGAACAGAATTCAAATTGCAAGTCAGTACGGGAGGTAACAGTAAACAAAGACAGAGTGAGATACATAATGACATACACAGAGTACATAAAAAGCTGCAGGCATTCTACTTGAAAACACTAAGAAGATCTATGAGAATTAAGAATAAACTCAAAGGAGCAATTTTAATTGACAAGAACTAAAGAACACAATGTTTCATAGGAGCCCTCAAACCTTTCTATGTGTTGGGTTATCTACAATGTGCCTCTCTGATTAAGACTTCTTCTTGAACTACTACTAATACAAATTGAAGCATATGATCCTCAAAACACACTAGTTCATCATAAGAATTAAAAAAGTTACCTATGAAATCAGGAATATGATAGTATACTGTATGTATACCACATATACTACATAGAAGGTACAGGCACATATGCATACATGTACTAACTATTACTTTGTAAAACTGAACTCTCCAATAAATCCTACCAATCATTTCACCAGATCTGTAACAAACACCAAGTTTCTCTAACCTGAAAAAAAACCCTAAAAAAGATAGGTTGAGCACAAATTTACTGCTACAATAGGACTAACAAAGTCTGAATTTCTACTGCTGCCTGTCTTGTATTTTCTGTCCCTAATACAAAATATTATTACAGAATTATACTGTATATAATATATACTATATTACAGAAGATGCCCCTCTCTGAGGTAGATTCTCTCATGTGCAATGAAATTTGATTCTATAAACAATTCTCTACTTTAACTAGTTCCTGCCTGATGGAATCCTGAAAGAAAGGAGGAATATTTCAACCTCTTTCCTCACTGTCTAAGTAGCCAATGAGTTAAAAACATACTTAAATAAAATTGCATTAATGGGTGAAACAGGGATGGAAAATCAAGAAATAAATACACGTGCAAATATAGTCTGACCATGTAAGCCTTTTGTTCCCTAAGAACTCCAAATGAGTTTGAGGAGATCTAAGGTTGGAAAAAAGGACAGTCTGAAAAAAAGTGGGGTTTTTCAAGTATATTATTTCAAATTGCTTTAACAGCTGTTGCTCAGCAGATTATATACTGAGGAACTGAAGAATCTATTCATGCTTTCCCAGGGCACAATGCTCATGATGTTTAACAATAGCATTCAGCTTTGAAATACCACATATTCTGTGACACTGGGAATAAGCTTACTAAATGCATAACCCCACTACCTCCAAACCCAGGTATCTTAATGTAATTTTGTTGTCAGTTTTGCAAAGGTACTGTTGGTAGCAACATGAAAATTACACACATACAGTCAAATTATGCAAACTTTGGCAGCCCATTCCTGTATCCTGAATCCTTATACAGGGTCTCCACAGGACACTATTATGCAGCTCAGGTACATTTAGAATAGACAGATGGGATTATCAACACAGCCTACAAAGACTGGTCAGCTGATTCCTTGTGGAATACAAAGAACATGACTGAGGCAGAGAAGTGTAGCTGGCAGAATTATGAATTATTTTTTAATAGAAATGGTACTAGACTGCCTGTCCCTGATGAAATAGCTCTCCTTTACTGCCTGGAGTGTTGATTTTGCAGAGGAAGATGCACCAGTGTGAAATTCACAAAATAAATAAATATCTAATAAATAAAATAATAACCATTCTTACTTTATAAATATGCGGATTGGAGAGAAGGCCTTCACTGATACTCATGTATGGTTTTCAGAAATGAAATTTTTATGTAATCTAAATCAATAATCATAAAAAGCGCATTTCAGAAACTCGCATGGCTTGTGAAGGCAATGTTTGAATGTATGGTATTAGTGACTAAAAAGCCACAACCCATGAAATTGATGATCAACTAATCTCTGAACAAGTCAGGTGCTAGTTCAAGACAAGTATTTTAGTATTTCTGCTCTCATCTTCCATGCATATTGCAGTTGTGATAATTGTTCTTCACCATTCATTTGAAAAAATGGGTCTCAGTATTAACTTATAATACAAAGACATTTTTCAGTGATGAGGTGAACTCCTGAGCCATGGTAAGAATCTTGCTTTTCTCAGTTGTCTTTTGCAGTTCAAAGGGACCTTCAGCAGTCTGATCATGACAAAAGTCACTGTTCTTTCTGGTTTAAGCAGATATGTTTTTCTCAGTGTTTACTTTTCTGGGTTTGGCAGCAGTTATAAACATTGAACTGTGGGAGATTACTGGTAACATCAAGATGAGTGCATACCAGCTAATAGTAGAGTACAGGAGTACAAAGATAACAAAGGCTATTTACCATGAAAATAAGCCATTCTGCACCGGTTCTTATGACTATAATCTTAGCTATCAGATTAACATTACACATAGCCAACTTCTTTTATTGCTGGCTTATTTTGATAATTTTTTTTGGTCTTTTCTATTCTTTTCATGGCTCATCTTTTGAGGGTTTTTTTTGTTTTGGTATTTTCTATTCTTTTCATGGCTCATCTCAGCCGAAGATTTTTTTACTATTAACTATCTAAAACTACAAATTGTATAAATGTCACCAAAACCAGAGGGACCCTGGGCTCTTCACTTAAGAGTTTGGGTTAATTGGTCTAACTTTAAGAACCAAACAAATCATCACATTTAGAAAGCAGGAAAAAAAACACTGGAAGGAAATGCCATCAATACAACTGCTACCAAAATCACTGGAGTTAAATTTAATTACCTGAGGGTTTAAAGGAAACATCTGTTCTACTGCAGACAAGAGACTTTTTCTCTCACATGGTCACAACAGTCAAAGCATGCGAGCCTCTGTGTGTGTGTGTTAGCTTTAACCTTCACTGTAAAATCTTCTAACTATCAAGCAACTCATCACCACACTCTGCATCTACCCATAAGGAAATCATCCTCCTCATGAGAAGTAACATTAGAGATGCTAATGCATGAGAGAGTAGACAATAATGCCTCTTTGGCAATACCACTTAAAATAATGCAACTGTTCTTGTATGCTCCAGCAACCTCACTTGCATTAGGGAAAGTAAATGCATGGGAAAATTCAGTCTGAACTGATCCATTTTTAAAGTTTCTTTCTGCTCTTGGCTGTAAAGTGTTCACACTTGTTTTCCGCTCAATTAGCTTGTGAACTGTTTGTATTTACATCAGCAATTAAAATTCTTACATGCTTATGTTTTATAAGGTACTAGCAAGGTACAGGACATGAATATCCTTCTGAATAAACAGAAGGATATTACTTAACACAGGAGGAATAAAAGTTAAAAAAATAGGAGACAGTAAAAATACCTAAAAATAAAAATGCCTAGCATTGATGAACCCTACATTTACAATGTAGACCATTACCTTGTCCAGTGTATTCAAAAGAGTCAGCTTCATCAGGAGTGTCAAGGTCATCTACATTAATGTCAATTTCATCGGGTGTATCCAAATTATCATCAGACAATATAGACCCTTCACTCTGGTCCAATGAGAGATTGATGTTTGGAGCAGTGAGCTTTATCCTTCTGGGCTGGGAGCCATTAAGATCAAGCGAATTGGGAGGTTCTGAATAAAAGGAAAAAAAAAAAAAAGAACAAAAAAGAGAAAAAGAACTGTAGCTACTTCACATACAATTAATCTCCCAGGTACTTGAAAACTACCTTTAAACACAGTGGGACAGATCAGCTCTAGTAACACCATGACATTTAAGACCACCCAACACAAAATACAAATATTAGCATTAATGTTTAATGAAATGAAACAAAAATCTACAGGAACAGCAAATGTAGTTCAGAGCTCTTAAATTATGTTAAATCCTGAAACACTTTTTTGCAGTCATCAGACAAAATAAGGTTTTGAACATGCTCTGACCCACAATATTTAAGAGCTTGAAGGGCAAATATAAATCATTTGATTTATGAATCAAGACATTGCTGAGTTCCGGGAAAATTTGTATGAGTTAAAAGCCATTGTAAATATTTATTTTCTTACGCATTCAGTGCTGATTTACAAATACTTACATGTTTAGCTTTAATCATATAATACCTTACTCAATACAGTAACAAATAAAAAAAATCTCTGAGTCTCCTAATCAGTCTTAAATAGAAGTAGTATTCAACAAGACGAGAGCTAGATATACCTTTGCTCCTTGCCTCTGCCTTGTATGGCACATTTCAAGTTGTTCTGCTTAGTTCACTTAGACAGAGTTCAATTATAAAATAAATAATACAGACTATTAAAACTTTACAAGGACTAAACAAGTGGTAACAATGCCCAAGAGAAAATGTCACACTGCAATTATCATTTCTCAAGTGAAGAAGAAAATTGGCTAAATAAAGCAAACTCAATGCTTTTTTTTTTTTAACATTGAACTGATTCTTTACCAGCACAGAAATATCATTCTCACTGCATAATTAAATGCCACAGGAATAAGCTACAATTAAGAAAATAAGCAAGAACTTTTCTCACCAGGTCTCATCTCCGCAGAACTGGGGCTTTGTACACCCTCAGCTAAAGGGATGTCCATTCCCACATCCTCTTGTACCAATCTGAGAGGTAAATACAAAGTAAGACCTTAAAGAGATGTACAGCTCATGATCTTATATAGAACTGAAATTTCCTCCAACATAGCCAGTTCAGAAGCCTGAATAAAAAACTGATGTTGCAAACAGCAATATTTCTCATCTTACACAAATGAAGATGGTCTTCAGTTATCAAGCTAATGCAAGACATCACTGCAAGGAGCTGCAGCTACTCTTCGTAAAACAGTACATTCCTAACTGTATACACAGTTACTGTACAGTCAAAATGAGTAGGTTTTCCCTTTTTTGGTATTGTGTATCTTACAGCAATTCTGATCCAAACCAGTAATACTGATACAAGTAATCTGTCACACTGAAAAAGTTCAGAAAGTAAAAAAGGGAGAACCAAAACTACATAAAAGATTTTCAAAGACTAAATTGTTGCAAATATCTTACCTAGACCCCATTTTTAGGAAGATACTAAGAAATTATGTTTAACACACACAGTACCTACACACACACATACATACATACAAACATAAGACAAGGAAAAGGCACTAAGTGGTGAAAATAGCAACAAAGATAGTTAAATGTTTAAAGAAAGTTGACTTGAACCGTTTTTATGTCTACTTGTTATTTAAATATTTTACTAAGTACTTGCTGGAAGAACAGTTCAACCGCAAACAAGACACAACATTTTAACACTTTTAGCAGCTACCAAACTATCTGCAAATGTATGACTTCAAGAGAGTTTCATTTACTTTATCATAATACTTCTAGTATTTTATTTTGCACTACTGTTCCAAAATCTGGATTTTTTTGCCCTCACAAAAGCTGAAGAACAAACTCTTCTCCGAACTTTGACCAACAGAACTGTGATGAGATCAAAGCTAGTAGTTTTCCCTGCAATAGCATCAGCTAGCTATGTTTTGAATTATTCAAATGACTCAGCTGAACAGATCTGAATAGGTGTGGCTTACTGCTCTTGCAGTTTCTTCCTGCCCACACTTTCCCAATGAGGAGGACTACCCTCATTATTTGATTGTGTCCAGACAAGACCCTTTGGTCAATCACTGTTTCAAAGTGGGAGTATAGTTTCTGTGATTTATAGTAATTTAATATAAATTATACATAAATGTGCATACTTAGGGCTGCCAAAGGCTTCACTGTGCCTAAACTGAAGTAGATCTTTACATCAAGCCCTGTGAAATCAAATTCCCAGTACTGACCAGCAAATTTTTTGATGAGACCAGAGAGAACACAGTTTTCCATGAGACCATAGTGAATACAGTTTAAAGCTATGGTCAAACATGTTTGTGCTGCTCAGCCTTCAACTAAGCCTTGTGTCTCAATAAAAACTGATTTATCTAATTTTGATTTTATCCCCACATACTGTATAGTATGTCTTTCATAAACACAGAGATGAACAGCCTAATGATTTTTACAAAGCATATCAATTCTGGAATATGTTTAATCACTGTTAAAGAAGGCTTGAAACACTTTCTCTTAGGATACACAACAGACTAGTGAAGAAATTTGATGAAAGTATCCAGTTCATTAATAAAATGAAGGCAAAAATTTCCTATAAGGTACCAGTTCCTTTTTCCCCCCAACTCTGTACAATTATCTGTATTCAGGAGTACTGACTACGATCACAACTTACATAGATAATGTAAATAAATCACTGGAATCTTTGGCATCCTTTTGTGTGTGTGGTTTTTATACAATCTGTAGTAAAATATGGGTAATGAAGTCTGATTCATTCATAGGCACTAACTAGAGAGAAATCCTAATTAAAAAGAAGTGCTGTAAGTAACAGCTGGCTAAGGCAAATAACAGTAGTGGAAAGGGTGTGGGGAGAGCATGAATATTTCTAACCCATTTTAAATTCAGATTTGGATTTTATGTGAGGCTTTATTAACCTTTTAAAAATAAAACCATGAAGAGTTCTTCGATTAAACCAGCTCAGGATTAGTTAGATGATGACTTATGGGTACTCAAGGGTTTATATTTTGGTTGGAAAGAATTTTGGTACTGTCATTCAAACAATTAATTTGTGATATTTCTTACAGCTTTATCAGACCAAATGGCAATTCCTTACCTGCAAAACCTTTGGGAATTACTGGAGGAAAATATTTGAAAGGAAATATTCAAATCTGTGTGAAAAGTAAGGTAGAGCAGGACAGTGACATTTCAGGCTTTCTGTATTAAAAAGAGATACTGTATTAAACTAAAAAATTGTTTAAGAAGGAAGATTATCTTTTCCTCTGTATGAAAAGAGCATGACTGAGTTTTATATACTCTATGCCTACAGAAACAGTAACAACTATAATCTGAAAGAAAGCAATTTCCCACAAGTAATTAATTCACAAATTTAGAGCTGCATAACATTTTTGCAATGCCCAGAACAGATTTATCCTAAATCATGATGTTTCTAGGATTACCTAAAGACTGCTTTTCTCCCTGTGGCATCTTCTTTTTACTTTTTTTTCAACACATATGTACTTGAATTGGTATTGTAGCTTTCTCTAGGGCCTCTTACACTTTCACAACAAAATGTTGAGGTATTTTTCTTCTTTCAATGGGACCATTGCAGCTGAGTTAAACGAGAATTTTTTATCATATTTGTGAAGAAGAGTACATTTCTAGGTATTAAAAGCTGCAGGTGAAACACTTGTTTGAATTTCTTATAAAATTCAGCTACAAGCAGTATACTCAAAAAATATCCCTGCTACTGGATTACAGTTAAACAGCATCAGAATTTGTTGGAGAATTTCTAACTTTATCTTGTTGACACAGTGTTTTTAATGTCAAAAATCTGTACTGTTCATACTGGGTTATTAAATTTGGAAAGTAAGACTCTCTGGTCCTACAAGAACTGGGTCAAAGCAGGAATTTAAACAGTTCAGTTGCCAAAAGCATTGCTGACGCTAGGTTCTCCATTTTATCTTCAATTACATAAAATGCTATTGCCTTTCAGAAGCTTTTTAGGACAGATTAGGTTTCCTGGGGGTTTTTTTGTTCGTTATTTTTAATTGTGTCAGGTTCTTATGTACTGTCAAAACCAGTCAACAGGTTTTTTGGAGAAGAGAAAGTCTGCCTTGAGAGCTAGTCTTATTTTTCTAAATCCTTTGTGCTTTACCCAAAGACATTAAAGATTCCTTAGCCACACACACACACACCCCTTGCTTCAGTGAAAGTTCTTCATTTTCATATGCCACAGTCAATATTTCACTCATAAATTAACAGACAATACAGGCATATTTAAAATGGTATTTAAATATCTGTGATATTGTGCCCCAACACACAGCTTCAGAATTGCTGTCACAGAGAGAATGAGGAGCATATGGATAAAGATTGTTTTCTACAGACACAGCTTCACATTTTTTGATGGATTTTGAGAGCATGTTCTGCTGAGCAGCTCAGCACCTTGCAGAGAAACTTCTGGGTGTGCAGAACTCTCAATAGATCTCAGCAGAAACCCTAGCAATGGAAGTCAGACTCCAGAAACTTTAAAATAGGCAACTGCCTCCTCTTCCTTTCACACAGACTACTTCATATGCTTTCAAAATTCTGGCTTATAAAACTCCTTGCCTTGCCATAAGGGTGCAGCTTGGAACATGGATGATGTGGACAAAAATATTAAAGAAAGATATATTTTTTAATCCCCTTTTAATGAATGCTTCTATTGGAAGAAATAAATTAAGTTACTTTAGAAAGCCCATTCTATTCAGGTATGATTTACTGGATTGATAAAAAAAGGATCTTGGAACAGAGGTCAAAGTCAATTAAGGTTTTTTGTGTCATAAATGACTTCTTTTATGTTGTACACAGACCAGTCATTTAAGGATCAGCTGCACTGGGAATCAAGTTACTGACGATTTGCTCTGATATTCAGGTCTATGATCTTGTTCAGAAGCAGCTGAATCCCCCTCGTTTCTCAAAGGCAGATCAGAGACAGACACCAAATTCATTTGAAAGGAGGAGAGGCAGGAGGCTGAAATACTTTCCTTTCTCTTTTCGGTTCAGACATTCTTACTGCTCAATAAATTAATAAGCTTTAAATAATTCTTAATGCCCTCTCAAATCAGTATTTCTCAAAATTCAAGTTATCCTTCCTGACTTTTCTAGGTACAGCAGCATTCTGCTATTTTGGAAAGAGCAGCTTTGAATATTCACAGCAATATGTCATAATCCCTATGGGCTGTGTTGCCTCACCCTTGTGTCATCTGTGATCTATCACCAGTTTCCCAAGTTGCTCTGCAGCTATTATTATCAAGAAGTTAATTTCTTTAGTCTAAAACAAGATATGCTTCTAATGCACTGCTTTGAATAAATACCTACAACACGCAAAAGAGATCAACATTAATCCAGTTGTGACTGTCATCACAATTTATTCAGCAGCTGGACTTCAAAATGTGTAAATTTTCTCATTTTCTTTACTCATCATTGCAGATGTTTCATCTGAAGTGAAGCGCACAACTGCCAGGCACTTTTCCTTGACAAGTAAATCATGTTTCCTCCATGCTGTTCCCTTTATGTAGAGAAATAAATTTATTCTTAAATTTTCACAAGATTCAAAAGTTTTTTTATAAAGTTTCAAAACATGATGAGTCAAAGAAATAACATGGATGAAATCACCTTTGTGCATATTAATACATGCTTGGTTTGGATACTAAATGTGAAGAGGAGAGATGAAGTGCAGTGGAAAGGTTATTCAGAGGCTAGGCATTTAGGCTTTTTTATCTTCTCAAATTCCACACAATATGCAGGTATACCCCGGTTTTGAATGAAGTAGGAGTCCTGCTGATAGATCACTTTCTCACTAATTTTGCAGAAAAATTGAGCTGCTTTGAAGAATAATGCAGGAAGTGAAATTTTAGGTACAAAAACAAGTAGGGGGACTTAAACTCATTGAGTTACTTTTGCAGCACACAGGCAGCACAAAGTCCTTCTCCTTTGAACCCATCCCATCCCCACCCTGTGACACCACCCTTATGCAATTACTGAGCACAGGAAAATAGAAA